GGTACAAGAAGGTGTTGTTATATCACAGCTACTTCGATATGCGCGTATTTCCACCCTACTAGAGGGTTTCTTGACTGGGTTAGGCGCCTTATAAATATCCATAGACAAAAAAAGTTTGATATTGCCAAAATAGAACGCTGTGTTCTAAGATTTTGCTACAGGAACCGGTCGGTACTTAGTAAATTCATCTACCCTGATTATGTAGGAATTAAAAACTTAGTAAGTTATTTTCATGAGCGTTGCCACCTCATAATTTACATAGAATTATTAACCGTCTCATACGTTCGTCTCCTCCTCTTCCATCTGCCCCATCATTTTTATTACTTTCGTGCGATTACACTTTTCTTCTCTTTCACTTATCCTTCTTGCAAATTAGTTACATGTCTTTCAATAAATAGCGGGTAGGAGGCTGTACTGAAGATTCCCACTCCTACCCGCATGCACTTTTCGGTCTGTGTATACAGCTTGGGGATGAAACACAGACTGCATCATGAAATGTTCTCTTACACATGACACTTAACTCCAATCTTTTTCTCCACTATTCCCAGCTTCCTTCAAGAGTTTTTTTTTATTTTTCTTAAAATGTATTACTTGTAAACTCGGCTGCTTATTTGTTTTTCATTTGTTGTTTCCATGTTTTCATTTTCATAGTACAATGAGCAAAAAAAAAGCAGAATGGGTTTGTAAAATCCGTACTGAACGTCTGAATAATTTTTTCGAGCTTTTTCTCTTCCACACGTATCGGGATTGCTTGTTTTTTACAAGGTTTCCAAAATCTGCCGCTAAGTTAATGAGGCAGATGGATCTGAGTTTTTATATGTGTTGTTACTACTGTCAAATTCATGCAAACCTTCTGTCGATATGGATTCAGGACCGGATTCCAGGCGCATGTCCTTAGTTAGTCTTTTTATTCGTCAGTTCGTAATAAATTTCCTTTTTTCTTTCAGTCAGCTCCCGGTTATCGAGTGAGCGATTTTGAGGATGGCAAATTGGTGAATGCTGAAATGAAGCGTCTGAATCCGAAATTCCAATTCAATGCGCTTAACGTGGATAAATTAGAGGAAGCCGAACAATTAAGTCATAATGGACTTAATCAAGGGTGGAAACATCCTGAAAACAGAGGTGCTTTCTTAGCCAGTAAAAGAATGAAGCGTTTGGAAGATTTTTTAGCAGTAGACATTGATTGATGGAAAAAATGCAGCAAAAAACAGTTTACGTTAATAATTTTCCGCCAACCATAAAGCAGAGAAAGTTTTATGTTATAACAGGGATAATGATATCTCTATAATTTTTTTAAATTAACTTAAAAAACATCCTT